TGAGGACTTAATTTCCCAGGGAGAGTACAGGAATATCACTGATGCCTAACATCAAGGTAAGAGAAGCAGCGTACTTCCATGAAATTTGACTGAGATTCTTCAGACAAAGGTTGGAAGAAAATCTGCATTTAAAGCATAAATTTGCTCCTGCTACTGATATGTTCACTCACTGAATGCAAGATGCTTTTTTTGTTTTAGTAGCCTTGCTAGATCAATCTACCTATTTCTCCTTTCTACTGGGTGACATCGATAGCAGCAGCAGATAAGAGAGAAGTATGCTGAGAATTACAAGCAAGTACTCACCACTGTTTTTGCACGCACATAAAGACAGAAGCATCTGAATGCATACAGAGGCGCAAAATGTGCTTCAATGGATGAGTGGTAAAAGCAGTGGACATATGCACCGCTGCCACATTTGATAAGGTAACTATGGAGCTTTTCTTCATCCTCCTCAATTAATTGAGCACTGGGGATCCCATTTATTCTGGTGTTCCAATGCTTCATTGCAATCTTCTTGCCACTCAGCTGCACTTCTTTACGACTTAGTAAGTTACATCCTAGTTACTAGGTCAGATTCTTTTTACAAACCCCTCAAACAGCTTTTAAGAAGTGAAACTTCTCTCATGAGCAGAATGAGCAGAGCAAATGCAGTATGAGATTTTTATCTTAGTATATGCATCAAAAAGCAAGACATCTGTAAGGGGTATAGAGGTGAACCGTCTGGGAAGAACGCCTTTCGAAGAGTAAAATGAAAAGCGACATCTCTCACTACCTGCTAGTGCCGAGTACCTTTTGCAACAATATAGAATTTTCTTTGTGCAAGCCAACATTTTCTCAGTTGTGGGGTGTATGACTTTGGGGCTGCTGCATGTGGGTTTTGGGGACAGAAGGCAAGAGCAGCGCTGTCCAGCTGGAATGCAGCTCACTCTCTGTACTCAAAATTCCTCATGGCAACAGCCTGCCTTCTCTCAGCACATCCCAGACACTATCCTGAAAAAAGTGTTGCTCTTAAAAGCATCACATGCAATTGCTGATCCACATCACATGTCTCAGGGAGGCCCTGCCACACAGGGGCGATGCGCAGAATGGTTGGAGCAAGCCTCAGGCCATCTCCCAGCTCCAAGAAACCATTTACTAGCAAGCCTTGCAGCAAGTACCTATCATGTATTATACTGATAAGAACAGATGTCACACTATATTTTTAGGCAGGCTGACCCAACATCACATAATAAACACCTTTCAGTTACTACTGAGCTAGGCTAGATTTGAATCAGCAGCCTGCACACCAAAAGGTTCCCTACATAGCTCATTGCTTGGATGGAAAGGATCAGAGCAGGGACTATTTTCTCTGCAGCTCTGTGAGAAAGTAAATCACCAACAATACATTTCCAGTGCAAATCTCACGGGATATCCAGCCCCTGATTTTTTTTTTGGTAGGCTTTTCTTTTATATCTAAAAACAAGAACTGCTATGGGAATAACACAAGAGATGCTACATCTTGATAATAACTACCTTTCTTTTTCCCTTTTGTTCAAGGAGGAAGAACACATTGTTTTCTCCAAGGTGACCACAGCTGCCTTCCTATTATAGAAGACTAGCAGAAAAAAATATCCAGCCTAAATGGAAGCAGTTTGTATCCATCTGTAAATTCAACACATCATTTCTAGGTGCTAGCTTCAGTTTGCAGTACACAGAGGCAAGAGACATGCTAAAGTTACTCCATAACAAACTCTCCACATTGCCCAAGACCCAGTGCCAGCCCAACTAACCAGGTGAACAACTACCAATGTAAAAAGAAATATTTATTTATTTAAAACCTATGGGCTCTAGGGGGGAAAAAAAAAAGAATCACTACATTATAGAACTCTACGCACTCACATACTGGCTTCTGAAAAATATATACTATTTATCTACTACCAAAATGCTCTCAGTCCTCTACAAAACACAGGAGACATGGTGCCTGTCTGAAAAAAGCTTGATCTAAATTAAAAGCATCCCTATTAATTGGATTAAAGACCTTTTAAACACTAGCATTTAGCACTGACCTCTTCCCTTCAACAAAAAACTGCCTTTCACTCCAATTGGCAACTGTTTCCAGAAAAATTTACAATCACTAGTACACTGGAACTCACAGCACTGCTATTGACTCTGACATCACTTCTACCAGGAAAATCTTGATCAAGAAATTTTTGAGCAAGATTATTGCATACAGTAGGAAAAGTGGGGTTTTTTTCTGATCCATGAGTTAAGTCTCTCTTGCAATGTTCCAGTCTGCTGTTGCCTAAACACCCGCCACCAAAGACAGGAGAAATACAGGAAGTACCTATGCAAATAAGCAATCAAAACCAAGTGAACAACAAACAGCATATTCAAGAGGCTAAAGCAAGCTGGCAAATAACAAACATGGTGGAACTGCCAAATCTCTTCTGTATAGCAGCAACATCTCCAAGAGCAATGTCTCAGAACTGTCCTAAGGCTCCACAGAACAAAGTTCTTTGGTTAGCAGATGCAGGACTGCTTGTGGATGATTTAAAGTGCTACATAGCACCATTATACATTTGAAAAATAAAATATCTTTTGATGTATTTACAAATCATCTTTTGTCCCCAATATTATTAGAAATTCCTAGCTGGGTGCAATGTATAAGCACAGTAAAAGACAGTTCCTGTGGTGAGGACTTCACAGGCAAGGCAGGCAAGTCATACACGGGAAACGGTCTCATCTTTATCTAGGAGATGAGAAAATGAGGTGCAAAGGTGAAATTATTTGCCAAGAGATGCACAGAAAAACTGCCAAGTGATCTCCAGTCCTTTCCTCATGAAACAACTATTCTTTCTTTACAGTTCATACATTGATTGTATCTGGTGCCCTAGTCCTTCAAAACTGTTTCGGTTTTAAGCAAAAGTTTTCTTTCCATTACTACACAAACAGTCAGAAAATGGACTTACTCTGAAGATCCAGTTTTCCAAAATAAGGAATTAAAGAAATGGGGGAACAAGAAGTTCCCAAAGGCCTCACTTTGCCCATTGGTAACTCAAATATGTAGGTGCTTCTGTGCAGAGACACCCAACTCTATCACTCAAAGGAGAAGGACTGAGATTTTATTCCCAGCAGCTGGAATTGGAAAAGATGGGATATATGAAAACAAAAAGCCGAATGTCACTTCCTAATAAGTGACTGAATAGAAAAAAACACATGCCAGTCATTTAATTTCTTACGTTTCTTCAAAGGAGGACAATCTTTTACACTCTACAGAGTGCAGTGATGGCATCGCTTCTTTGTGAACATGGCCAGAGGCTCTACTGATTTCCTCATTTTCTGACTCTAAAGAAGGCAAAAGAACAGCCAGTCGAGTTTACTAATCACAGGATATGGTAAGTAGTATCCAAAACCGAGGCTCCAAATTGTTTTTATAACAGTAATTTAAATCCAAGATGCTTTGGACAAGGTTGGTACCCTCCTTAATACACTGTATATGCTCGCCCATATGCATGTTAGTTATCTTTTGGCTGGCCAGTCTGACCTGCAATATAGTAGATGGCAATAATTCAAAGGAGTGGATTATCCTACAATAAATAACACAACCATCTTCCTCAATTAGACTTTTCCAACAGCTATGGGAAAACTGAGGGTTCCTCCCTCTACCTCAGTCTCTAAAAAGAAACCAAACATTATTTGGTTCTAAAGAGAATTTAAGTGCATCCAAACAGCCCATTGGCATAGGCAGAGGAGCCATTTTGCCTTTCACGCTTCTTAAAAATGTTGTATAAGATCACTTATCTGAAAAAAGGTTAAACTCAACCAACCACTCTTCAAGAAATTTTCCATGTGTGTATAAAGAAAAGTGAACAAGACCTCAGTAAGACAGTGCATCAGAAAAATAGAGGTTGACGTCAACTCATTTCAATTTAAGCCAGAACCTTCAGTGTTGGTAGTCTTCCTTCCTTAGATACTTCTCAAGAGTGAGAGGACAAAAAAACATGTGAGCTTGTGGAAAAAGAAAGAAAGAAGGTTAAGAGGAAGAAATAAAGATTTTTAGTGCTAAATTTGACAAGGCTTCTCTTATACCAGCACAGAATACTATTTCTTAAACAGGTTCCAACGATATTGGAAAGAAAAGATGCAAGGGTATAGGAAAGATCCACACAAGAGTTTTCATCATTAGGAGAGGACTTTGGGTTTTTTTCCAAAATACACCTTCCAGAAAACCTCTAGTTCTCTCTGCTGTTTTGGAGGCAATATCTTCCATCAAAGGGAAATGGCTGAGAGTTACTTAGTAATGTACAACTAGAGGCTTTCAAAGCAACTGATACTGAATGGATATATCCAGTAACTTTGCTGATCACAATTCCAGGCACTGCAAAATCAAGGCTTCTCAGTGATCCCTGCAGCTTGTCAGCACCTCACAACCCTTGGCACTCATTCTTTAAAGCAATTTTCTAGAGGCTTAACAGAAAGGACAGGCTTGGCTGTGGTTTTGAACCCACCCAACTTTAAGCTAAAGTATTCTCGGGCCAACTGACAGCTGGAGCCTCTTGCTTTTCAGCTTACACACAAAGCAGAAGTTTTGAGGATTTGTTTTCACTGGAATTTTTCTTAGTAGAATTCTAGATATTGAAGCCAAGTTCACATTAGAGAGCCTAAGTCTTAACTTTCTTAAAACAATTAGACAGTTAATTTAATCATGCTATTGTTTAAAGGAAATTAAACGTAAATATTTTGATCTTCACAATAAAACCGCTAAGGGGAAAAATAAGAATTGTGGTCAAACAAAATCTATAGAGAAGAACAATGCAAGCAAGGAAATTAATTCAACTATGATTTTGAAGATTGCTGGTTAGTTAAAGATAATGAGGAGCTTTACTTCTCTTTTTATATTTAAGATCTATTTTAAGATTTGGAGAAGCAGGTGGCATTTGAGAGACACATCTCCAACTTATCGCTGTAACTATCAACATCCCATCCACAAGCTCGAGATCCAGCCCAAAACCCTATGAAGTTCTCCCAAAGTTCCTCTCCGCCAAAATGTGGGGGGTTTTTTGCTGCAGCTTTATATTATGCAGCTGTTATTAATGTTTTCTATTTGTTCATTCTTAAGAGCCTCAGCATATATTTCATGTTAGCTGACTACAGCCTCACTGACTGCTTCTGATTCCCAGAGTTAGCTAGTGGTGGGAGGACAGGGCAAGTAACCATGACCGAGGAGCTGGACAGACAGCTCTGGATGAGTCAGCTCTGGATCATTTGCTGCAAAGCAAAGCAAAGCACAGACTTGTTCCTACTCTCCTAAAAAGTAAATTTGTCAGACAGAACACCTCTTCAGTATACCAGACCAAGAAATAAATGATCAGTGATAATAAAAAGCAGCAACAAAAAGCTTCTTTTCCATAAATAAAATAGCAGGAGATGTTTAGGCTGTATTTGTTTACCAGGATTTGTCTTCTCAAGCTGGTACCATCTGTAAAATGCCCTTTTCTTTTGTTCACTCAGGTCTGACCCCTGCTGCAACAGCCAATGGGAGATCCGGCTCTGACTGATACCTGTAAAAAACCAGAACAAAACAAAAAGAGAGAAAGAAGAAAAGAAACTTGTTCCTTTTAAAACATTTAAAGTAGTTTATATACTGATAAAAGGTGTTGTCTTACAAAGCCCAGGACCTCATAATGTTTCAGTCACAGAAAAAAATAGAGTTCAAAATTCCCCGCCCTGTCCCTAACTGCTTTAACTTTTCCCTGTTGCTATTTTCAACCTTACTCAAGGTACATCTTGGAATCAGCACAATCAACCTACAAGGAAAGAGGGTAACAATTGGGAAGCCAAATCTACCACTGACTTGAATTGTCTACAACTTCCTTGATTCTTCAATTTCTTCATCTGTGAAATGGGAACAAGTCTCTTATCCACTATTATATACACATAATGATAGTTAGATCATTATCATTCAATGCTTGAATAAGAAGGGAGATTAACATAGAAACAGTTTATGTGATATCGATCAAATCAGCCCAGAAATGGAGCAAGCCAACTACTGGCAGCTATAACAACAGCCAGAAATCAAAACAGAAAGGGCAGCTGTCTGTCAGCAAAGCAGGATTTAAGCTCTAGGTATCCAGGCAAGATTAGGGACAAAAAGGTCCAGAGTTTTTAAGGCAACACTTCCAAGAAAACAGTAAAAGGGGGAAAACCTCTAGAAGTTAATACAGTTATTTCCAAAGCATGACACTGAATGAAGGATCAATGCAGAAAGGGAAAAGAAGTTATTAGGAGAGGAACCAAATAAAGCAAGAGGTTTAAAAGTGCACTAGGAGGTAAACTGTAGGTTCATTTGAAAATACAAAAAAATACATAGTTTGCTGCGTAACTGAAGCAGTACTTCAGGTAGCAGAACTCTCTGTGCTTTCCACAAGGCTCTTCAGCTATTAGAAACGGTTAACAACATCTAAACTCTGCTGAGACCTAAAGTTTTAGGAGGTGCCCCAAGTAACAATAACTGCTGAACACTGCCTGTGCCACCACCTGCTTAGTGATAATACTGAGGAAGGTAGAAGGTGGGTTTTCACAGGGAAACCCAACTACCTCTCCTGTCTTGAGATGCATCAAGGTTTTATAAGATCTCATAATCATATTTAACTTCTATCATATTACCACTTCTAATACGGGACTCTTACTACGTGGTTGGTTTTGGATTTTTTTGCATTAAATACTGAAGCTAGTTAACTTTAGAATGATTCAACTTGACTCTCAGATATCATATTCAGGTAGGTTTACTCCAACCAGATTTTTTAAAATCACAGGGTTTATGCTCTTCGCTGTTCTTCCTCACACAGAATTCCAGAGCCTATGAAGTTTTAATTGTGTTGGGGAAGAGGGGCAGGCAGGTGTATTTTGTTTCAAGTACAGAAGCTTACTGCTGTTCAACAGAGCTCTGCCCACAAACCATACCTTCGTTTGGTTTTGTTTCCTCGTACATCTACTGATCTTCTTAACACCCGTTCCCACAGACTGCCTTTGCTCCACAACTGAAAGAGTTCAGATACAGCTGGGGCAGCCAAGAGCTGACTACCCCCAGGGCCCACATTGGGATATACAATTGAGTTTATACTATGAGGGAAGTGGAACTATTCAACCAAATACAAACCTTAGATTCTGCCAAGTTTACGTCAAGTAACTGTGGAAGCATACAAGTTAATATCAAGAGAAGTCAGTGTAAGTTGGTAAAACTCTCTGGCCCAAAACAAGGCTTCCGTCTAGTTGAAATGACACAATCTAGATGCCTGATCACCAGTGAAAAGACCAAGTTTCAAAAATTTGCAGCTTTTCACCTACAATTATGATTTATAAAAGCTGTTTCTTTAACTCAGTGCTGCAGGACACAAATGTTTGTGTCTCACTGCTTTTGGCTGCATGGCTCCTATTAATCAATGGGTAACTGCACCGTTAATTTACTTGTTTACTACAGTCCACTTACACTTATTGCAGTGAATTAGTGCTTGTTGAGTGTTTGGATAACAACGTAAGATATAAATGCAAAGCATTATTAGACAAAAATTATAAACAGAGATTAAGTACCTTCAACAAGAGTCATATAGTGGAAAATCCAAATTCTGCTCAAGAGGCCGCCTGATACTCTCATAAAGTGGTACACGTTAGCCACGTCAGACAATGTGCTCGAGACAAAGCAAAGGAGCAGGAGACAGAAGATTCACGCTGTGTATTGCCATGTCAACATTTGACACATTGTGAGTCCTTACAGTTTATAAAGTCGCTTCTGCAAAACGGAGCTTTGTAAAGGACACCAAGATGTACAGATTCAACGAATGCACTATAAATTCTCAGTACGTTATTATTTGACTATGGTATCTCATGAATGGCACTGTGGTCCATAGTAGTTTTTGCATCACCAAAAAGCCCACAGCCCATTTTGCTCTTTGGCTAGCAGACTTCCGCAGCAATGCTGCAAACCCAGATAACATGTCAGGTATGGCTTAGGAAGCTGATCTCATTTTTGGTCACAGGAATGCAGTGAATGACCTCCAGAAGACCCTTTTAAGTCCCATTTCTTATCAATCTTTCTCTATTCTTTATTATTCTCTTTCCTTGTTTCAGAGATCTGTAATGAGAGGTGAGCTTCCTAAAGGTTTCATCTACCTATTCCAGTCCTCCTCTTTTTGTTTTTAAGATACAAAATATCTTTCATCTGTACCTCAGCTTGGTTTAGAGGCCCCAAAACTGTATATTCCAACAGCTTGACCAATTTAAGGTTACATGCAAAGTCCGTAGCAGAAGAACTGATTTGGGATCTCCCAGATCCCAGTACAATATCTTAATCACAAACCCATCCTTCACTCCTTTCAATTAAAAAACCCAAAACCCCAAATTGTCACGTCAGAATTTCTTGCATCTCAAGTGAGTTTTACACAGTTGACTCATAGGGACAACAAGTAGTACTACCACCAGTACCATCCTGTCACATTGTCTGTAATCATGCTACTTTAGGAAATTGCACTGGCAGGAAAAAAGAAATCATCCTGCTGCCAGAAGCAGATTAATGAAGGACGTTCTCTGGAGTACTGAAAATCCAGCTGTCTTGAGGAAATTCACTCTCAAACTGAACCACAGACCTCAAGGAAGACTGCCATCCTCTGGGCTCAGCATCAGCAGGGACACGAACACATTGTAATGAACAGAACTAGTTTTCTCACAGAAAATATCGAAAAAAGCGGTAAACACAAAGGATTATAGCAATTCAAATGCTGATTTCTTGTGTCACATGTCACTCCTTCCAATAGCAGGTTACACTTCCTAATTATAAACAAAATGGAGATGACAGTACACGCACGGTCTTCTGGCCAGCCCCACTCTCTCCTACCTAAATTATTCTGGGAAAAAGTTTCCCTTTCAAATACATAAAAGAAACAGTAAAATGGATCACAAAGAGAAGGCAATTGGTATCTGCAGTACAAATCCGCTCATAGCCCTCAAAACTGTTATTCATCAAGTCTTTGGTAACTGTTTTTCACCTTCACAGACAGATTTGTTCAGTGACTCAACTCTCCGTTTCTTTAATGTTGCTTTCATGAGAGATTTTTAGAAGCACCTGGAACACATCAGATTGGGAAAGGAAGTAACTGACTGTTTTTAATTCTTTGGTTTGTAAATAACATTTTAGATTTATACAATACATGCTTGCAAAGGACATCTATTGATTTAGGAGATTAGCAAAGCTTGCTTACAGAAAACCTGCAAAGATCAAAATCATAGAAAAACAAATCTTTCCCTGTGTTGTCATAATTTTTTTAAAAAAAAAAAAAAGGAAGGAAAATGTTTTTCAAAATCCAGTTTCTTGCCATCTCAGATGATCAGCAATTCAGTAATTTTCTGAATTCCCTTCACAATGGAACTACTTAAGTTCCACTTTTGTTTGTATTTACATTTGCTCACCATCCCTGAGTGTAGGTTCCAAACCTTAAGGGATTTTATTTATGTTACAGCAGTGCTTCAAGGCTGCTCTCCACCAGGCTAAATGCAGTGTGTGTTTTGCACAAGATAAATCTAAGTCCTGAAGATCTCATATCAATTAAGACAGAGACAGTAGCGCAGGGCTGAATTGTACGAGTAGAATATTTGGGAAGGTTAGTAGAACTGAACACATAGAGCTTTCCAGTGTGATGTATTTAAAAAAAGACCTCTGCATTTTATTGTTGTTCATTATTTCTTTTAACGGTGGTTTAGTTTTTATGGTATTAGCCTAACAATTGAGAAATCTGAATTCAAATTCCTGCTCTGCAACAAACTGCTTCCACTGTGACCTCAGGAAAGCAAAGTTTTTTTGTTCCTCCACTCCTTGTGTGTAAAAAATGGAAAAGGTAATATTTCCAAACCTTCCAGAGGCATCATCCATCAAAGCATTTAGCCTGGCTGCAAAGGGCTGATCTATGTATACTTCTCCCTGTCTCCTTTAACTGTAGTATGTAAGAAAAAGACATTAGTTTCTGAAAACATTTCCCCTGCCCTCCATCTACATTTGGAAGCTAAGAGACAGCATTCTCTTAATAAGTTTACATTTATCTCTTTACCCTTTGCCTCCTGACCGTAACTTACTTGGTACCCAGACACAATTCTGGTGGCAATTAAAGCAAATTGCAGCACACGATTTCAAATTGTTGTTGATAAAAATTTGGCATCTCACCTGCCACATGCAGGGCTAAATACCTACCCCTCAGAAGCTGCAGCTATGTTAAAAGGAGCTTCAAATAACAAGATAGGAAATTCACCAGGAACTATTATTAGCTCCTGTTTATACTGTCATTTTTCTTATCAGTAGGAGATTATTTATACAGAGCCCAACCCAAGTGCTTCTTGTTTATCTTATTACAGACACCATTAAAAAAGTTTCTATAAAAAGCAGCTCCTGTATTTAGGACCAGCACTAATAAGTGTTATGCTGGGTTTTTGTTCCTTATCAATCATTCCTTTATTTTCAAGTCACCATTTAATACTCTGTTACTATTTTCCAATCTGCCTCTTCTCTCAGTATACAAAGCAGCCCTGTAGAATGTCTTCCAGGTTTAATTTTCCCTGTCAGATTCATTATCTAAATGACTTTTAAACTTTCTGGTAATTTTACAAGGACTAAGAGCCTAAAAAATTGTTCTACTGAAACAGCTGATTTTAACCTTCAGCTCTGTGTTCCTCTCTCACGTATCCTCCCACTCCATCACTTCCCATTCACTTGCACTGCAGCACAGGAAAAACAAAAGCAAAAGCCGTTTACTGTTGCAGAGTCTGTAAATACAAGGCTGCTCAGTGTGCTTTGTAGGATTGTGGCTGATGTAGGAACATGTATTCTGTAAGTGCATTGCAATATTAGAATTAAGATGAGAAAAAGGAGAAATATATTTCTGAACAAAGTCCCAAGTGGCTTGAAGAATTAGGAAAATAAGGCAAGATGGAAGTTTTAAGGCGCAGAAGTTGCAGTAGAGGTTCCTGCACCAAGGACAGAACATGACAAGATACAGAATGGGGACAAATATGGTCATAAGCACTGGGGAAACATTACACTCTCCGATGAGCTAATCCAAGACCTGCAATTTGAAGACATGCAAACATACTGCTTTAGCTAAAGTTCATCACTTGTATGTCCAATTTGGCCAACTTCAAACCCCGCCGTAATTAAGAAAAGGAAGCAAAGTTTTAGGTTCCTAGCTAAAAGTCTAACATCACTGCTCAGATGCACTATTACTCCTTTCCCCTCTCCCCTCCCATTACACACACACAATTTTTTAGAGTAGTAAAGAAATTGGTAGAGATTGAAAGGAGAAAGTTGACAGCATGGGTAGCCAAGCCAAACAACTCTCCTTCTGCACAGACCCAGCCATAAATTTTTCATTTCTTTCTTGCCTCTCTTCCTGGGGCAGAAGAGATGAATGCTAAAAGCTGAGGTCACACTATTCTGCATTTCTTGCAAGTGCTAAACAAATGACTTTCAGCTGATGCAGGGTGGTAGCCAGTGGATGGGTAAGTCAAATATGCCCAACATCTGCACGGCAGCCTCCAGAAACAGCTTATTATGTTTGTACCACAACGAAGAGTGATGGAGGCCGTAACTACAGCAGCCGCTGTGGGTTGCCGACCTGTTCTTCCAGAATTGCCCCTTTTCACGCTCTTTCACAGCCTCTTCGTTGGCCAGAACAGGGTTCCACTTTGACGTGCAATATAATAAAGAGGACCCTGAGACCTGGATCACTGGAGGCTGAACAGTATTCTGAAAGGTATTATTTCACTCTTATGGTCCTCCCCTACGTCATCTGCTACTGACCACTCTTTGGATTTTATTTATCTATTTTTCCCTCCTGTTTACCGAATTATTTACAGAACAGCTTTACCACTAAGACTATAAATACTGAGGTGATACCATTTAGGATCATATATTCTGCAAAGTATTACCGCTGCCTATACAGACTGCTTTTTGAATGAACTAAAAGTGGCTTCCAGGCCTTCCTTCGGAGCCTTTTTCATAGCTGAATGCGAAGGGATGTTGAATACATCGGAAGAATATGCAAGTCAGCTAGCACTCATCAGGCCTAAGACTACTCTGGAAGTGAGAGCCCTGGGACACAGGCTTTCTGCTCTGGATCTCTGTCCCAAGCTATTTTCAGTCACTCTTCACCATACTGTGCTTTTGAAAGGAAGCTGATGCTTCTCCCAGTAGTGCTGAGCACACTCTTTTATCTGGTCCCTTCAAACACCTCTGAGATTTACTATTTCTTTCAGATAAGCCATAACTATGTACTTAATAGTGGTACATAAGTACTACCCATTTGCTTACACAAGGCTATGGGTTATATTTAAAATGAATCAGCTCCCGTAGACCTTCCCATCAAGCATATGGAAGATGACACAGTTCAACTGTAAAGAGTAGTGCGAGGAAAAGACTGGTGCATCACAGTGCAGAGCAAGCCTTGTAGCTATCTTTGCTTCAAAAACTGCATCACATGCAAAATACCACTTTCTTTTCTTATTTGAAAGGACCACGGAAACTCTACTGAGTCAGCTGCAAATAGACATAGCCATTTAACCTTCAGATCTACCCAGTTTCCCATTGATTTGGCTTGAAAACAAGATAATAACACAGTACCATTAGTTCAGTCTTTGTTCTGTCCCCCGATGGGCTCAAAAGAGACATCTAGTAATATCTTCTCTGATCACTGTGTGAGTACATGCTGGATTCCCCCCCATGTTACACAGGAGGGTTGAGTGGGATGGGTGTGAAACTTAAGTCAACCGCGTATGAAGTGGATGGTGTTGTTTACTCACAGGAGGAACAGCCAGGCAAACAATGCCAACTTAATGACAACTGAAATCCAAGAGAGTAGGGTTGAGGATGGAAGGAGCAAAATGATCAGGTGTGAAGAGACTGATCTTGACTTTCCTACAATCTGCCCGCAGGGGTATCAAAGACAGGCACCGAGACCCCTTGCTAACTATAATTAGATCAGTTCCTTTTAGTGATAAGAGACTGTCTTAGATTTGGTGTGGTGATTCTGATTCAACGGCCCTGCATAAAGTAGTCCCACTGACCCAAAAAAAACCGCTGGCTCATTTTGGAAAGACTCCTTTTCTGCAACATTTTTTCCTCTTCGCATTACTTCTCTTCAAGGGGAAGTTAGTTTGACTTGCTGGTAGACATGAAGGGTACTACACAGAGGTTAATTCAGAGATGGGTTAGTCCAGGACTATATTCAGGCAAGGATTGCACAGAAGCAGGGGAGTGACCCACTAACTACCAAAACTTCAGGGTTCAGGTACAATTTAAGCAACCAGACTTGGCATTTAATTTTTGAGGTACTACTGCTAACATCTGATAAGGCTAATAACATTCCTTAGAGTTACATGAAATGTTAATCTCATGATTTTATAGATTAAATTGAAACCAGGGACGGACAAGTAATTTTGCCTAAGATCACAGAGAAGAGTTGGAGACATGGAAGGAATTCCTGGCTCCACAGCTCAAGCACCCGTTTCTGTCTGCCTACCTCAACTGCTAGCATGTCTGCAAACCCAGATCTCCCAGACAGATGGCTGGGTATGACATTTCAAATATTGGAAATATGAGAAAAGAACAACTTCCCTCCTGCTGGTTTGGCATTCCTAGTCATCAAGGAACCTTAAAAACTATCTACTTGAAGATCTTTACTCAAGCTTGGGTTAAAAAATGAATAAATGTTACAGGTATAACACAGGACTGAGCTATCTGTATTTTATCATCCAGTCTTCATCCTAAGACCTTGAGGTGCTGGAGCGAGTCCAGAGAAGGGCAATGAAGGTGGGGAAGGGTCTGGAGCACAAGTCTGATGGGGAGCGGCTGAGGGAGCTGGGGGTGTTCAGCCTGGAGAAGAGGAGGCTGAGGGGAGACCTGATAGCTCTCTACAATGACCTGAAAGGAGGGGGTAGCCAGGTGGGGGTCGGTCTCTCCTCCCAAGTAACGAGTGATAGGACAAGAAGAAACGGCCTCAAGTTGCACCAGGGAAGGTTTAGATTGGATATTAGGAAAGATTTCTTCACGGAAAGGGTTGTCAGGCACTGGAAGAGGCTGCTCAGGGAAGCGGTGGAGTCCCCACCCCTGGAGATTAAAAAGCCGTGTAGATGTGGTGCTCAGGGACATGGTTTAGTGGTGGGCTTGGCAGTGCCAGGTTAACGGTTGGACTCGATGATCTTAAAGGTCTTTTCCAACCTAAATGATTCTATGATTCTAAATATGCTACCAGCTACGCTGCTCTGGACAAGCAGGGTGAGCCTGAAAAGGAGAACTAATAGCACCCCACCCATGGAGGAGCAGGAAGACTTCATTACTCTTTGTGTAAAGCTCTGGAAACACACCTAAGGCAGAAGTGATAGCACTGCAGTCTGTTTACTTGTCCTGAACATAAAAGAGAGAAGACACAGGGCAGAGGGCAAAGAGAGAACTACTTCTTCTAGGTAAAATCTGAGCTAATACGGTCATCCCTTCAACCCCACATCTGATTTTCATTAATCGTGACTCAAAGACAAGTGACTGAAAAACTTCAAACTATCATAATTGGACTCCTCAATGTAGCAGTACCAGCTATAGCTGTGTCTCCTGACTATTCATATACATTTTATAATACAAATACATATTATATCTCTCTCTTTCCATACACAGAGATGCAGATACTCATCTATTTGCCACACTCAACAAACAATTTAAGAATTAAGGAAAATCGTTCTCATTTTAAGATAAGAACTTTGGGCTTATTACAATGCTGTAAAATAAAATCTGCAAGCACAAGCCACAAAAAAAAAAAAGAGAAAAAGTGATTCACTAGGGAAGTTCCATGATGTGCGGGACAATGGGTCTTAAATCAAAGGCATACATTATCATGACTAAGCTGACAGATCTGCACTGCAATGCAGAAAGCCAAGCAATATTCCAACATCTGCACCGTGCATAGATAGGCCGTTAGACACAGTTTCCCAAAACGAAGAAAGGACTCCCCAAGCTCTTACCTGTTACCTGTGCAACAACTGCTTGGGAAATTCTCCGATTGGCTAGGAAGGCTTTGATTTCCTCCTTTATCACACTGCTGTCCCTCCTACCAAAACAAAAAACCAAAAGAACACACAAAAAGACAGACAGACCAAAGTGCACTTTGAAAATGCAAAATGGCTTTATTTCCTTTATTTAGGGGACAAGGACTGGGGAAGGCAGGCATTAAAATAGTCAAAGTGCCTCACCGGTGGACACTTTTTTTAACTGTCACGTTTGATCAAAGTACCCTAGCAGGAGAATGGATGACTCATGTCCTATATAATTCATATTAGGTGCAGCACTGCCATATGGAATGCACAAAGTTTCATTACACAGGGATGAATAAATCTCTCATACCAGCATAAAAACCTCAGTCATAAAAATGAGGCACAAAAATAAAAAATAAAGGATAGCAAGGTCTGCATGGTTAGCTACACAAATGAATATACATACACAAACCTTCTCCAACCTTTCAAGGAAAAAACCCAAAGGAGAAAAGATTTTGCAACCTCTATCCCCCCGCCCCGACCCCCTTCCTTAGTCCACAGCTTGCACTGAATGAATAAGTGCCAATTATTTAAAGCCTTTGTACGATTTTTACAAGGTGTGCAAAGATAGTTCAGAAGGGACTAAAACCCTGCTAAAAAGAAAATAATTTGGAGGTTGCACCGGGACTGTGATATGCAGCAGATTTCAACTGCAGTAAACACATATTTTTCCCTCCTCTTCCTCCCTCCCTCCCTGAGAAGGGCAGACAAATAAAACCAGACTTTATTAGGCTGTTGGAAATTTTCCTGCCTCTTCTCCCCTCCTGCCCAAACAGCGTTCAAGGCAGATTCAAACTTGCAAATGTAAATGCAAAAGAAATGCTATGTTGTGAGTTCATTTTTATTTCTGTACCCAACACTCATCTTCCATATGCCTGCAAATAAAAGTAGTTTGAGTTTAAATAAGCACTAAAAGCATTACCTGAGAATTACTGCATAGGAACCCAAAACTCAAAGGAACGATTAAACTTCAGCAATGGGAACTCCTGCATGCTGCTATACTCACCATCTTCCCGCATTATTCCACTATCCTGCAGCCAACAGCAAATGAGGTTGATCGGCTTTTCTTACTGCTCATCTCTAATCCTCTCCCCCAAAGGCCACACCTTTACCCTAAATCTCCAAACTACTTCAAACCTATTTTCATCCTGGAGCTTATGGACCCTAGTTCTCGCATAGATACTTCACAAATGTTGCAATTTTGGGGGAAAAAAGACATTCCAACATTATGAACAAAACTGTTTTGAGACATTTGGCCTTTCCTCTTATTTCTGTTTGTTATCAAGCCCGCTGATGCTGACTTTCATCATCCTCAGTGGTATAATCTCCCCCTTTCATCTTTGCCATAATGCTGAAAAGGAAACTGCTAAAACTAAAGGAAGGTCAGTCTAGAAAAAAAACAACCAAAACAACTGGCTCTCAAAGACCTCTGCTTCTTGTAATTATTTGTATTCTCCTACACCAATCTGCAGACTGCGTAAATCCCAGAGACAGTTGGGCCCTGCCACAAACTATAAAGAGATGACATACATGCTCTGCAGATCCCAGTGGAAACCGTTAACCAAGCAGATCCCCTACTTCCCCTGTATATGGAAGGAAATACAATTGGTATGAAGGAGTGGAGGAGAAGTCAGTCATGTGAACTGACATTCAGTCAGAAGTCTTCTGAATAACAGTAGAGTGGAAAATTAGTGCGCTAACATCAACTTCAATTTCTAGTACAGCATGGGAAAAAATATTTCAACAGTAAACCAGACTGTGGGATACCTACACACAGCCAGGGGTTATCTACACAAGACTAAGAGGCAGGTGAGAGGTACTGAGATAGTGACCATTAGGGAACCAGCAGGGGAATTGCTATTTAAAGCAGTTCCTGCTTTCTTGATAACACCTATCATTACTACAGCAGTCCTCCAACATGCAGATTTCTTCTGAGGGACTTCTCACTCTGACTTTCCCAACTTTTTACAAAGACTTCTACTAACCTCATCAGTTCCTCCACTTTGTCATCAATGTCCAAGTCCTCTTCAGAAGCTTCAAAACTGTATGACCGTTGAGCCAAGCTGTTTGCAAGTGGGTAGCGGGTAGGTGACATCTTCCCGTTGAATGCAGACAACCTCTCATTACTCTCCCTCCCGTTCTGATTAGTAGTGCAAGGCTGTGGGGAGGTGTCGTAACTGTTGCTCGGTGATGGGGACATCCCAGAATGCTGGGTCTGTGTTGAAGCTGTGGCTGTAGAAGAAGATGCTGGGACATTGTTGGTACTGTTGCTGTAGGAACCACCTCCATAGCTAGACCTTCTTCCAAATTTGTCACTATGCTCTTGATCAAGACGATCCAAGGTTTCCAGCGCGTGGAGGATTTCATGTCTGGTCATTCCTGTACGTCTCAGGCGCTGAAGCAGGTCTATCTGCTCTATGGTAAATCTTGGTTCGTCTGTGTAGTGAGACATGGTTTCCAGCAGACTGAAAACAAGGTAAAACGTAAAAGCAAATACTTCAGTTCAATAGTTCTCTGTGGTACACAGAAGTACCTTACATGCGGGAAAGATCAATACTGGTCCAAGCCTTAAGTCACACACATGACACAGCTGGCAGCCCAACAGTCCACCTCCAAACAAGCTCAGCAGGCAACCTCGCATGAATGCTAGTCTCACCATGTAGCAAGAAAGGCTTGTTTTTCTTCAAAATGGCCAAACAGCACTTCTGTCTTCTACTAGCATTCCCTCCACCTTCTACAACAAACCTGCAGTTAGTACCCTTTTGCTTTTGACAAACCGCCGCTACAGAGGGTCACTGGTTGCTCAGTAATAAAGGCTGCAACTTGATTTCAGACAAAATTTTGTCCATTGCTAAGTATCCACCAGACAGAAATCCCAGATTCCAAAACTGTTAGGTCAACGCCAGAGGTTGAGTTTTGCTGGAGAAGTTTTAACCAGTTATGATGTGAGATGTATGAAATATCAACTCTTTCGAATCTTAAGTATGAAGAGTTCAAGTTGCCCTAACTTTTTGTTGCTGCCTTAAAAAAAGAAGATGAAAACACACCTAGCGGAAATTCTAGTGGCCTGTAAGACCAAAGTTGATGTGACTGAAGTCCCATTTCTGAAGTTAGATTTCTGAAGTTAGTAACTTTTGAACCTGGAATGTTGTCACAGATCGCCTGCCCTAACAAGGAAAGTGGAGCACATCCAATTACTACTGAGCTTTCATTTAAAGAAATAAGTCTACAGCCTTTTCCCCTCCAAAGGCAGGCTTCTCGTGTAACTCAATCATCACGGCGGCTCATCAAAAGCATTTTTAACTCCTAAACTTCCCAAGGTGGCAGAACAATGAACATGTATTGCTGCAAAGCCCAGAAATGGAACTGAAAAATCACAATATCCTCCCTTAATCTCTTTTCCTTCCTACGTCTCCTCATCACAGATCCAAATGGCATACAAATGACAAGATCACCTCCTTCAGAACTCAAGATCTTGAGAAGAAGGGATGGCAGACGGAGGGCAGACAGAACTTGGCAATGAGATCAAGGCATTTTCCATCCTTCTTGCGAATCTGCTTATAAGTCAAGAGTTTATTACAATTCCTGGAGGAGTGCAAGGTGAAGAGATCACTCAAACTCCAGGAGACATGACAGAACTAATGTACAATCCCTACAAGCAAGAGCAGACAGACAGCAGCCTCAGGAAAGTTAAGTAAGAATTCCAAGAACCCTATGAAAACGAAAAGGGGGATGATGGCTGTCACGATAGATCTTCCAAGGACAGGACTGCCTCTTTCTCTCCACTAATTTTGAAGATCACTCCTCATTTCCATTTCTGCTCTGGCACAGAGAAGTCCCCAACAGGAGCCACAGTGACAAAACTTTTTCAATCGCTGCATTTAGTCTTTTTTCAGATACACAAATCACAGTAAAGTAAACCAAACCCATAGGATTTGGCAATGTAGCAAGGGAATCTTTTCGGGGAAGTAACATCTCACAACACAGACCCGATAAGGCAATGGGAACAGGTCTGTCCTTGAGTCAGAGGGTATTGCCATGTCAACACTAGTAAATTAAATAGTGCCCAGGAAGAGGCACTGTAGCATCTACACACAGTAGTCTGCAGCCTTATTAAATCACTGTAACTGTCTTTGGCACAGTTTTGGCCCAGCACAACCAGTGCACTCCTGACCGATTTGCAGGCTTTTTTTCAAACACTCTGGATGCAGCAACTCAGTCTCAAGGCTAAGAGCGTCTGGTAGTATGGATGTGGCGAAGTGGCCTTGGGGCTGAAGAACCGCACTGAGAAACGGCTTGCTTAGTAGAGCTGTAGCTAGACTGTAGATGTACAGACATGGTGCTACAACACCAGGATGCATGAATCCACAAAAATGGCACTTACAGCCTGGAAGATACAGAAATGAGAAGAAGCTCATTATCTTTGGCCTCATCAAGCAGCTACTAAGCCCCTTTCATTGTTTCAACAGTGTGTACGTGGGAGAAGGAGGGAGGAGGACAATGCAAGGGGATGACTCCCATCCAAGAAAATGACTATGTGAGAAGACAGACGGACTAAAGCCATATAAGTGCTTCAGTCCAACAGGAATGTGCTGTCCTTTGGCCAATTGATTACTGAAAACGTATGAGCCATTTTAAAATTTAAAAGACAAGCACCCAGATTATTCTACTAAAAGGAGGGCACAGCAGCCAATGCAGCAGTAGACTAGCAACTGACTGGAATTGTAACAACTAAAATTTGGAAGTCGCATCTCAGACAGAGACATTCAAGGAGCATTTGGAAACAGACATCATGTTCTAGGTTTGGCCTCTGCATTGAGGGAGACAGGGCTGCTCAATCCTTTTCTCCAAGCTTTGTGAGAAGAGAAGTGTCACACTGACTTACTGACTCATATCACAAACTCCTGTACAGCCTGAAAGCCCCCCCATGTCAGCTCCAAGTAGCATGGTTTTCAACTAGAAAACCTCTTCTTAAACATCTGGCCCTGAGTTGGCTTTCACTAGATACGCCAGCTTGCCTTTCCTTAGAGATAAACCCATTTTTGGCATTTCTTAACCGTATTTCTAATGTAACCATTTCCTGAATCATTTATCTGTCAACACCAAGTTTCATGTGCTCAAGTACTTTGTTGAACCGGAGAATTTAATGAACCAGAACCTCCATCCAGAATTACCTCTACTCAAAATTCCTACTTTACTGACTCTTCAACACTTAATACTGAAACATACTTTAGATTATCGAGTTTAATCTCCCATTTGTCACAGACCTAGAAACCCAACACTTTTGTCCTTCTAGCCCCTGAACCCAAAAACTCACGTCTGACAAAAGCATGACTTTCCAGATGGCTTCAAAAATGTCAAGCAACACAGAACTCACCATTTCCTTTGGCAGTTTGTGGCCATGGCCAGTTATTCCCTTTAAAATTTGGGTGTGATTCCCAATTTGTCTGAGATGCTAGGGCTGAATTTCTAGATCTGGGTTCTCAGGCCAAAGGAATCTCCTTTAGTGAATTACACATAATCCTTCAGCAAATCCTAAGTATCCTTTAGTGAGTTACGAGTGAATTACACGTAATGAACTGCAGTGTTCTTAGATGCAAGAGAAACGGTTGACCTTCTGTTGTACACAGCTGTATGTGGGAAAGTGATCTGGCCTCCAATTTGTCCCACTTTGATGCAGTGGGGACCCGCTGTGCACGTGCAGTAATTTCAATTGCACGGGGATGCAAGGGCTGCTGGACAAGGCCATCCTCTACTGTAAGAATAAGATATTCAATGACCTCCAACTTGTGCTCTAGAGAGTCCTCTTAATCTGTAGACTGCTTCTAAAAGGCTTGCAAAAAGTAACCTAAGAGTAGCAAACCTACTGTCAAATTAAATCCATTACGTTTAACACAATCATTGGAAAAATGTTGGCAATATGAAAAAAAAAAACAAACAACAACAAAACCAAAATCAATGATCTGTCTGTCTGTCCATGCAAAGTATTCTTCTAGTCCTCCAACCCTTTTAGACAACTTCTGTATAATTTTTCAATGCTTAAAAAGATAAGAACACCAAACTCGGATACACTGTCTCACTGCTGGTCTCACTAATGTCATATACAGATGTAATAACTGTCCTGCTCATACTTACATACACGGCATATATTGCATCTGACGTAATTCTTATTGGTGGTCTTACTTTTGAACTCCTATTCACATTTTCATGTGCTTTTCTACACAACCATGAGATCTAGAAACAATGCCTCTCAGTTTTATGTATTGAAAAAAACTGCAGGAATTGGGAATTTTCCATTAAAAACCCAAAACAAATATTGCAAAACGTGGTATTATTGAACATGTTCCAACATTGCCAACTATCTACTGCTTTTTAATGAATAACTACAGTAACATTATTTAGAACTGTTATTCTAGCAGGGCTTCAGTTATTTTCCCTTTTTAAAATATTTTAATAAACTTACCCTGTTTAAAGATCAATTTACAAAGCAGTTAACTAAATCAGCCATTTTAGAATCATCATAATTTCATTCACCTCATTAATTAAAGGATATTCTCTACTATTTCATCCCCCCATATTGCTGTAAGAGCCTCTTATCCTCCTGAAGTCCTCTGGCTAACTATAATTCAATTTGCTTCCCCCTCTTTTTTCTTGTGAAATACAATCAACTGCAAAAGTAACAAGAAGTAAAACAAGACAGGAGCAAGGAGAACGATTGGGGGTGTGCAGGAGAAAATAAAGATAGCAAATACTTTTCCTGAGAACAAAGACTGTGGACTGATTGCTTTGCTGTAGTCAAACTCTGGCAAACTTTGCTGCCAGTATAGCAAAATATCCTCAACACTAGCAGATCTTAGCTTACAATCACACGCTTTATCTTCTGATCAGTTCACAAAACTCTCACTAGTTACAATGAGCTGTCAAATTTCCTTGGGGAGATACCTGAAAAAGAAAGCCAACTAAGGGACAATCGCCATGCATTTTTCTCTCTGGAAGTTTGAAAACAAGACCTTTGCAAAGTACTAATTAAGCTCAAAACTAAAACTGACCGATTTTTTTAACAACTGAACCTGGCCCTTAAAACGAATCAAGTTTATTTACATCCTGACAAAAAAAAATGGTAGCTTAAAGTATCAAACTTATTTACATTTCTTACATTAAGTTGGCAGTCACACCCCAGGTAAGATGGTCCAATTCCACTTACTGCCTCTTGGTACCTATAAAGCCTTAAAACTTTATGCTTATCTTTTGCGGCTCATCCAAAAGGAACCTGAGGTACCCGAATATCAGATAGAAGCGAGAACTATAAGGAGCTAAATAAAAAAGAAGTTATTTTCCCTCCCAAATCCACAGATACAAAATAACCAGCAGGTCTCAACCAGTCAGATGCAGCATCACTCTTTTTCACTTTTAATGCCCCTTTCTGGAGCAAAGGCTGTCTAGGGGCATAATTGCTCTCAGTACC